TATCAAATGAGTTCATGTAAAATTTAACTAGATTATTATACAGTCTATGCTCTTTAAAACGATTCCTCCCCAATTAGAGCAACATTTCTGTTATAACAACCACTACATGGAATCCCATTTGTGATTCCATAGGGGCAATGTTATTTTAATGCCTATTGAAACAAAATTTATCTGAACTGAACATTTTGTTCCAATATAGCGATTGAAATTTTTTTCATATACACAGATGCTAAACAATTTTGTACTTTCAAAGCTAACATTTTCCCATTGATAACGAGTCTATCAATAACAAAAGTCTTGAGAAAACTATTTAAATTACTATTTCTTTTGATGTTATCTTTCAATAAACATTGATTACTGCAGCACCATAATATAGAAATCAGAGTTGCCTCTATGATCATAACCTTGCAAAATTTCTTTTCAAAATGTGCAATATTCATCAATCATATTTTTCTTGTTTGAAAATTTTATTCGTTCTTGTTGTGAAGAAATGGTTTATTTTGGAGTATTTATTGTCATAAAACATATTTTTATTGTGTGCACTTATATAGAGTTGTGTGTAATAGACATGAGAAGATTTTGTTACTAAATAAATACATAATTTAGTAAGTACTAAAATTGATTTTTATAAATTTACTGGTATGGTTTTATACAATTTTGTATTAGATTACTAGATATTTTGATCTCTATGTTTTTGAAACATTATAATATGACAAGTGAAAATTATTGCAAATTTGAAACAACCTCAAATTTAACTTAATTTGATCTTTTATTACTCAAGTTCAAAATAGAAATAGTGAACTTAAATTATTTTAATGTTTGTATTGTTAGATTAGATTTGTCAGTGTCTAATTGCGAAAAACCAATTGGTTATCTCAAAAACTAGAAAATACTTTAAAAATTTATAAGAACTATGTAATTGACTATTACTATTTTAATACATTTTAATAACGAGTGTATGTTTGGAAAATAGGCCAAATGAAAATTATTGTAAATGGATGCATTGAATGATTTAAAGTCAAACAATGTGGAACTTGACTGTATCAATTTGCTTTCTTTTCCCCTTTCATTCTATGTTTCAGCACTGATGATGCAGAAGCGGTCACCCATTTTTTAAACTTATTTTTCCTCTGTGCACATTTTGTTATTTCTAAGTTAAAATTAAATTTGTAACCACTATTACGAACTAGAATTAATGAAAATATCTATTGTAATGGATAACTTTTAAAATAAAAAATTCTATCATGTATTTTTATATGTATTCATGTATATCAGCTGATAGCAAGAATTTTTGGAATATTATAATATGTTAAGTTAAAATTATTGTAAATATTTTCTATTTTTTAAAATATAAATATATGTTTAAATTAAACAATTTTTAGAAAATATATTCGGTTGTTGTAAATAAAAAAAATATATGTTTAAATTGAATAATTATGAGAAAAATCTTTTCAGTTGTCAATGTTTTATTGAAATTAATCACTTTTTGTTAAAATTACCTTTTAATATATTCTCGTATTACCTAGAATATTTACTTTCTTTCTTTAAGCCTATATTACATCAGGTGACGCTAATTATTTTGAAAAGAGTGCTGCTGTGTAAAAGGAAAAAGTTGTGCTTGCATCTTTCAACTTTTCCACCTTACTAAAAATTCATTTGTAGACTGATTATTGGATTCATAAATAACATTTATTTTTTTTTTTGTAAGTCTGAGTTGTTGAAATTTCAATAATAAAACAAATGCACAAAGTTGGATTTATTTCAGGGTGCGTAGCGTTTTTCAAAAGTGCTTAAAGGTGCTTATTTTCATTTTTTCAAAGCCCTTAAGGTGCTTTTTACATTGGGTGTTTTTTAAAAGTGCTTAATTTTTCTTTTTTCAAAATAAGATTTTTCCTTTACCATGTTGATTTTTACTACAAATTATGCAAAAAGACGCAGTTCACATTGTTCTATTCAACGTTTACACAATTAATTCAAACCCATTCAATCTATTTCAACGTATTGTGAGTCCATAGCGTATCAAAACGCCATTCGTTTTACATTATTCAAAATTTCATGATTTTTGACAATTGCCAAAAGCAATGCCAAAAGTTTTTTTTTCAACATGATGGTTAAAGCAAGATAAAACCGCGAAGTGTCATACTTTCCAGCCTTACCTAATTAGGATATTTTTTTAAAGTGCCTATTTTTTTGTTGAATAATTTGGCTACACACCCTGTATATACATTCAAAAGTTCAATCACTTACCTTATGTATAAAAAAAATTTATAAACCTGGAATAATTAATTTTAAATAATTATTAAATTACTAGTATTTCAAGCGGCTTTGAATATGTAGTTTTTTCTCCTTTTTTCAGCAAGTTAATTGCAGTAGGATTAGTTCTTGAACATGCTTATAAAATGGTTTCTTTTACGTGCATATCAGTTGAATGTAAACGATAGCGATATTTTTATTTTATTTTTCTTGCTCTATTGTTTTCAGAAATGTACACATAAGATTTTTTTGGGGAATTCTGGCAATCTTGCTGGGTACAATATCATTATTCTTTCTTTCTGTGCCTTTGATGAATCTCCACTATTGTCAGGGACTGATTAAGACAAATTCAGGCCCAAGGCCCACCAAATTTTCTGGGCCCCTTACGGAGTATTTTGAAATTAAGTTTCTGAAGAGTAGTCTTAACAATAAAAAAAAATCTATTGAAGAGAAACATTCTAAAAAATTTGAAAGCAAACAATTGAAGATCATTTTTCTAAGATTAAGTTCTCGCATCTATATATTAAAGCAAAATATAAAATAACAAAACAATGCTTTGTCAAAATAAAAATAGTTTGGTGACCGCGAACAATTGAAAATCAGTGATTTTTGCTAATAGTCACTGATTAGTAGAATTATTTTTCACTGTAAGTTGTAATTATTTTTTTATTTAGTACTTAAACCAACACAAAGCTAGCCGACTTTTCAAAAGATTTAACGATAAGTTCAGCATGTATGCTAAGATATTAAGATTATTAATTATAATTTTTATTCAAAAAATATACAAAAGGAGCCAAAATTATAGCTGCTCATAGAAAATTAAAAGCACATTTAAATAATAATTTATTTAAAGATATCACTTTTAAAAAATTCATATTCAGTGCATTCACTTAAGCCGTTGATGTAAAAACTGCACCAATTCAAATTCAGCTGTACTTTCGAATTTGATTAGTGCAATGTTTACACGAGTTTGGTTTATCACGATATAAAGAAAATTCGAAGAAAGAAAAAGTGAATTGTTTGAGAAAAACTGTTTCTTTCATTATTTAAAAAAAATAGTAATATTGTGGAATTTTTACTAATTCCTGAGCCCCCCTCCCCCCCCCCCTAGAAAGTGTGGTCCTTAGGCCCGTGCCTATTGGGCCTAGGCGATAATCAGGCCCTGACTGTTGTTATTTTCTCATGAGTAAAGAGTAGTTATATTAGTTAAACAGGTTATATTTTTAACCCCTTATATTTCATTCCCTTTGTCTAAAATATTACAACACTTTTAATGAATTTAAAGTAGTTTTACCAAGCAATAAACGTTATAGTGACCAAAATTTTTAATAAAATATTTAAATTTGTTTAGCTACCAGTCATATATTAAGTTAATTGTTATATAGCTTTCATGAATTTCGATTCTATCATACTTACCTGGCACTGGGGATGCCTTGATCATCAAGGAGGCTCCCCCGAGCAGAGACCTCTCATTGCACTGCGAGGGGTTGACGTTCGCCACATTCACGAATTGTGATTGCTTGGGGTGCATAATTTTTGGTAGTTGGGACTGCGTTCGCGCTGTCCCTATTAATATAAAGAGGAGGTAAAGAATAGATTCGGTAATAGTGGTTTCCAACTGGCAACCCGCAAAATAGATTACTATATCAGTTGTCATTTTTTTTTGTAAACAATTTTCGTAAAAAATCTATAAGGGTTTAAAATACTTTTCTCGTCAATAAAAGTCTCGTTTCTGTGAAATTTATCATACCAATGGTGCAAAAAAGATTATTTCTCAGGTTTTGCATCCGGGAAAATATTTATTCAAATACAAAAATAATCATGTAAGTTGCTCTTTTTTATTTAATTTTTTTGTATTTTGTGAATATAATCTAGCATGAGTGTATCAGAAATTCTCCGATTTAACTTTTTGGAACCACTCATTTTGGACGAAAGTATTTACACCGAGTATATTGCCCGAATTTTTTAATATGCAATTAAATATTTTTAAAAATCTACTTTTAATTTTCATTTGTAATTCAATACTTTTGTTTTGTACAGCTTGGCAAAAATCTGACAGTAATATTTAATGTTCCTGCAAACATAAAAGAGTCCTACATAAAATTTTGATTAAGTTGCGGCCCGCCATTTGATTTGTGTTTTTAATTGTGGCCCCCGGCCTCCTGTAAGTTGGAAACCCCTGCTATAAGGAAGGAATATAGAGGGGAGCTCCCCTCTATATTCTTCGCCTATACTAGTATTAAAATTATTTTAATTTCAGCAACATAACTTAAGATTTATGAAATTTTCGAAGATTGGATATAGTAATGAAAGGTAACGCCTACTTTCTGTCCAGAGCTTGAAACGATCAGAATTACATTTTTCTACAGAACAAAATTCAAAAGGTAAGAATTGTCATTTTAAAAACTGCGACATGTTCCATTTCTTGTAACTTCCAATTAAAAATATATTATAGAGAATCTATCAATCATAAGGATGGCAGCACCGTCAGTCGGTGATCACATTTTCTTTTGCTTGTAGTCTTTTCAGTAAATTTACTCCGATTATTCTTTGACGTAGTTTTTATGCTGTTGAAGACTCTAAGATATTAAATTTTTGGAATTTTCGGTACATCACATTGAGCAAGGTTTATCATTATCATTCCGCTACAGAAAGTAGGCGTTACTTCGGAACCTGTAACTACGTTCAACAAAATGTGTAGTACGATTTTATTAAGTCTTTTGTTAG